GACACAAGTAAAATGGGGAAAGGGGCACACGCATTTGCGGTGTCTATGTGAGGATTCATGTATTAAAATGGCGTGAGCTCGTTAAGTAAAGGTAATTTAATCGGATTTAAGCCGCTGCAGGCAGGCTATACATTGGACTCTCTAAAAGTACAGCTGGCATTTATAAGCAGGCTGTAAATATACGCCAGTTAGCGGGGCTCTCCAAGTCATTAGTACAGCCTCGATTCGCGTCGCGCGCGAAACAATGACGCTGCTGTAGGCGCTGAGCCGCTGCCTCGCAGTTCGCAGCTCGCAGCAGAGAGAGAGAGAGAGAGACACACAAACGCGCGCGATGCAAAAACAAAAGGAGGGACGAGACAAATGCGGTGCGCGAGAGATAACGCCGTGTTATATATACACGCGATTTATCGTCACACACTCGGCGAGCAGGTAAATTTCAATTGCCGGGATTACCGGGGAAAAAAGCGCCTCCTCGCATTTACTTCATTCTTCTCGCTCGCTGATGCGCTGCGCGTCGCGTCTAGACTCGACCAAGTGCAGTCGTCTTCTTGCCTTTTGATCTCGCGCCTGACTAATTGTTCTTGTCCTGGAACTGCACGTCTACCTGCGTATGTTCATTATTCCATCCCGTATCCCTTGCAGTGTCGAGTCGCTTTCAAACTCGACTCTTCGACTCGTCGCTCGGCCCTCGGCAGCAGCTTCGCGTTAAACTCGATACACTCGTGGCGCGGAAACAAATACTTTCCAGCTCCTTCCAGCGAAACTATCAATCCTGAGTGCTGCGTAGGGGTGAGCTGCGGCTGTCGTTTCTTTTTTCTTTTCTCCGGGAGCTGCCTCTGCAAAACTCCCTTAGCCCATTTCTCTTCGTTTACCAGCGCGTTCACGTTTTTCCTATTCTCGAGCTTTTGTTATATGGGAGAAGGCGCTTAGCATGTATCGCGCCTGGACTCGTACACCTATAACGATTCCTGGCCTGCCTCGGACGGCCGACGCTGATTTAACGCAGCTGTGCTTCTTGCGCAACACTCGGGTACTTTTCCCAAACGCCAGCTCCTCCGCGAAATGCTACCGAGGCCGGATGAAAAAGCCAGCCTCATTCGTCTCCTTTGCGCCAACAGCCGGACTACAAAAGAAATACCTTGCCCACGAGTTTCAGGCAACGATTTAGCCTAAAAACAGCGAATAATTTCCTTGAGAACAGGTCTTGGCAATTTTTCTTCCCGTCGATCGACTCGAGCGGATATTTAATATAATCTACTTGCATGACGCAAAGTCTAGGATCATTGCGGCTACGCTCAAAACAGCTTGCTACCTCAAAAGCTGCAATGACAGAGTTGTCATTTCCAGGCCCAAATAACAACTATTGTCAAAAATTCGAGCACATAAAGATCAAAGGACATCTATTTTCGTGTCGCATCCACAGACGACCCGATTGCATCATCGACGCTTCCGATTACTCGAAGGAGCACTAATTGCTCTTACGTATGCAGGCCCGAGACCAACGCGGTTAGCTGTGTCCGTTGCATCAGACAGTGGCGCAGTTCTAAGGCCGCATCGGCACAGCGATAAGATAATAAGAATCGACGATCGCAATTTTCTCGAGTCTGCGACTCTGGATATTATAGAGCAGAACTGCGCGAGCTTACACCTGCAGCTGTAGAGGTGGCGTTACAGTTGCGTTTATAGCCATTCGAGGGAACAAGAGGATTGTTTGTCTTGGCTGGTGCGCGAGTATATAGCGTTGGCGATCGTTGCTAAAACGTATCTTCCAGTGGAATACAAAATTACGTGAGATTTTGCCAGGTATCAGGATGCGATTAAAAGTTGTAGGATGACGTAGTTGAATTTGGCCAACCACTCATAATAATACGGGTAGATCTCACTTTATTCTACCCGAGGCTAGAAATGGCAAAAAGAAAATAAAAAGCTAAAAAAAAAACAAAATAAAAATAAATGCCCGAGAGAAGCTGCTATTCCAGCAATATTGCTAGGGTAAAACAGAGAGTCAGGAGAAGGTAGGGGTGTTGGAGGAGTAGGAGGGGGCAGAGAGGGAAATGCTAGGGGATATCTATTTAGCCGGAGGCGAGGGGCAGGCGAGCAGCTCGGATGCTGCATGGGATGCCGAAGAGAGAGAGAGAGAGAGAGAGAGAGAGAGAGAGGGAATAAATGTAGGTCAAACGCGCTTGCACGGGCCAGAATGGCGCTCGTTACGCACTGGAAATTCGGCGCTCGTTGGTCGAGACGCGATACGGCAGCTGGAAACACCTGAGCTACCGCATGCATCATGGGAAGAAGCTGCCGGGGGCACCACGAGGCTCGCTCTACGGGTCTGGGCTCGCTCGGGCCAGCCAATTATTGCCGTCGTGTGGCAGCCACAGAATTACATTCATGCGAAAGCTCGTGCTACGTCGACTTCTAGGATGCTGCCAGCAACTGTAGCGGTGATGTATAGTGCAGGTAGTGCTACAACTACTACTACTACGAGTACGGCGAATACTCGGGCGGTGGGAGGGGAAATCGGTCCGGGTGAAATTGGCGCAGAGCTTGGAGGGCCACAGGAGGAACGTCCAATGGCACGCGAAGCTCGAGTCCGCACGTTAGCAGAGCGATCGGAGCGAGAAGACTGGACGAGGCTGGCACGCCAGTAGCGGCGTCGCAATTAAAATGCCGATTGCAACAGCGACTTTAGACTCCAGCCAGACACGTAAGATACGTCCGGCGCGACTCGAGAGCCGAGGCCTGGCGATAATGTCGGCCAGCTGTTGAGCGATATTTCGCAAAAGCCTCGCGCGCTCGTGCGGCTACTCGGGGCAAAGGCTCGAGGCATAAATCGCCGAGAGCTGGCCAAGATTTAGTTTTGGCTCAACTTGGATTTATTCGGCAAAATAATGCGCTGCTGCTGCAGCCGCTCATAGAATAGAAGCTCTCGGCTGCGCCACGTTGGACGGAGGGAGAGAGAGAGAGAGAGAGAGAAAGAGGGCAAAGAGGGTAAAGAGAGCTGGCTGAAAGAGGGAGGTGGAGCTATGGAGAGTTGCAGCGAGCGCGAGGCTTAAGGAGGGAAACGAGGGGGGCATAGCGAGAGGTTGGAGGGAGCTGGCTTACACACGGGGACGCTGTCGACGCCCTTTCCTCTCTCAATATTGATTTTAGCTGCAGCTCTGATGCACGGGCCGCGCACACCATCGCAGGGGCGGAGCTTTCCATGTGTACGTGTGCACGTGCATGCCTCGCAGTCGAGGAAAAACTCGCCCCCCCCCCCCCCCCCCCCCCCCCCNAAAAACCCCCCCCCCCCCCCCCCCCGCGTCTCTACCTCTCTATGTTTACGTGTGTGTGTGTGTGTGTGTGTAAGTGTGCGCAAGCTCCCGAGCCCGAGTGCATCGCGGCTGCGAGCTAGTGTGAGTGAGCGACTCCACGCAGGGTCGTGAGTGGCGTATTGCGGTGCCCCACACAGCACCTCCTGGCGCTGCAGCATATATCGTCGCCCCAGCGCAAGAACCGCACAAATAACTCAAGTAGCAAAAACGTGCCTTAGTCCTATGTTAAAAGGATACGATTAAGGCACCTTTTTGCCACTTGAATTTATTAGTGCTGTTCTTGCGCTGGGGCGACGATATACACGCCGCACGCGATTTTAATTTCGAGCGGCATCGTATCGGCTCTCCTTCCACAAATTCATGCTCTATCTATCCCCCGCGAATATGTGTATGCACGAATACATGTGTGTGCAGCAAGCACTACGTGGCTCACATTTGCCATTCACCGGCTGATAACGATATCCGTGCGCATAGCTCGACGCGCCGTATCGAATCCAACTTTTTATATCCGATAATCTCGCCGACTTCTTTCGGATAATCAATCTCGAAGCTGCTTTTGATGTGATCGCAGGACACAGCGAGAGTTTAGGATCCAGAGAAAAAGTCTCCGCATTCGGTCTAGTGGTCGTGGCTTTTTCAGCTGCCGCCTGACCAAACGCGCTCTCGTACTACTGACTCGCGCAAGGCTCGATTTTACCTCAAAGAGTGTGAACTAGTCTTTGCGATACCTTCTTGTTGATTTATTTACTTGCGAACTGTTGTATTAGCGAATTACGAGCCGGAAAATAGTTCTTCGCTTTTTAACAGACAAATATTTTTCTGAAATATCGTACCCTACCGACGTATTAAGCCGCTGGGCGACTTTCCCTCAGAGAATATTATTTTTTTCGTGTGTTTATTGATTTTTAAAAAAAATTGATTATTACTCCGACACGATAAAGCCCCGAATAATATGCAAGCCAAGTGGTCTATTAGCTGCCGAGCGCAGCAGGAATAGTAGCAACGTCTAGACGCCCTTTTTGAATAGCAGCGCATTCGCATCCGGAAGCGAGCGTCTTTTCTTCCTAGTCCTTTCGCGTCGTCGTCGATGCAGCCCGAGTAGACTCGGCGAGGATAGAGCGACGCTTCGGAGACGGAGCCGATGGACGAGCACGAGAGCCTCGAGCGACTCTAATTTCTTCGCTTCACCGCTATAGAGTGAATCGTTACGGTGGATATCGCGGCCCTTTTATTGGTCAGCTCGCGCGCGAGTCGAGGCTGAAAACGAGATATATTTTTGCGCAGCTATCCGCAGCTGTGCGCCGCTTGAATATTTCAGGCGCGGCGCTCGACGACCTGCCGAGGTAGAATAATCTCAACAGCGGCAGCAGAAGCTCGTTCGCGCAAGGGTTAATCACCCCCCGTTCACGTACACGCGTGCGCGCATTCCATGAATAATTTGGCGGCTCGCGGGCGCTTTTCATTTCTTTCCCCCGGGCCTGGGTGACTGAGTCTCGCGACTGCAACTGCGTGTACCTCCTTGCGGCCTCGAGAGAGGACAATGGCTCAATGGCTGAGCGGTCAGTGGCTTTGCCGAGCCATTTGATGTTGCCCCCGCTCATCCGCTTATATCCTCGTAAACATGCGAGCAAGCAGCCATCGTAAGCAACCATCCTAACGTGCGACTGTTTTTCTTTTTGTTCTCAGGAGCGCATGGCGGCAAACGGCAACTCGCCGCTGGACAACATGCGGACGCTCGAGCACTACTTGAGCGACATCATGAGAGCCGGAGCGGCCGATACGCCGGAACATCTCAAAGGTACGTAGGCGTCTCGGCGACTTTTTATCATTACTAGCAACGTTTGCGGCTATGCAACATCTCTATATGTACACACAGTTGTCGGCATACAGCACTTTTGCCGACTATCAACGCGCCTATTCGCGTCCATTAATTAAGGCCTGTAGCTGCTGGCCTCTCAGCGATCATCGAAAACAGGCCAAGCGAAACACAGCTAGAGCGAGATAGCCAGACAACTGCAACAATGGTCTCGCTTGGAACGCGTACTTGCATAAACACACACACACACACACACACACACACACACACACACACACACACACACATGTGCCGCGTTTAAAGTAAGGGCAAATCCTCTCGCGCTTCGGCTCGTTTTCACCATTTCTCTTGGTTTCTCTCTGCCTCACTGGCTTTGCTGGTCCAGCAAAGTTAGCTTTGCCTTGGATGCGCGTTTACGTGCCTACATGAATTAGGTATATATTTACATGCGCATTACCTTGATTGCTGACTGACTTTTCAGCTTCCTTCACCCTGCCTACGATATTCGAGCAGATTTCATGCGGATTGTAAATTAGCTCTGAAAATGCGACGACTGCAGGGATTCTGCTGAAAAGTAACAGCGCATAAAAAGCGATAATTGCGAAAAAAAATAATAGTCTCTCGGTGCAGCCGCAACATACACCACACACTCGAAATACCTTCGTTCGATTGTAGCCTCGTCTGCACCGTAGTCATCCACGTCGTCGTCGTCGTCGTCGTCGTCGTCGTCGTTGTCGGGGTGCACGGGTATAAGCTCGTCGCTACTCTCCACATGTTTGAGCCTGTGCCTCGAGAGGCTCTCAGACGTGTCGTGGAGCAGGTACCGTATAGCAGCGTAGGCAGACCACCGAACGGAGCAAGCCTCGGTCTCACGCCCCTCTTTAATTCTTCTTCTTTTTTCCTCTTGCCCGAGACATCAAACGATTCTTTTTTTTTTATCCTATCGCACGTACCGAGCGTCGTTCGAGCGATCACGAGTAGTCCCGCAAGTCCTAGTGCACTTGTACTCCTTCCAAAAGGAAATCCACATCATTCATTTTTTTGCATCGCGATTAATCAGTGTAAAAGTTCAAGCTCGACAACGAAGACGAGGTGTTGCTCTACTCCTCGGCGAAAAATTTGCCAACTTTAATATCGGTAAAAAGAGCGGCTGGACGAGCTCTTGCGCGTTCCGCACATTGCGACATTGAAATGAGAAAGCTTCATCGCAGCGATCCCGAGTGCAGTGGCCATGGAAGATGTAGCGAGAGAAAAAGCTCCGCGCGCCCTCGTGTGTAGCAAAACGACGTGTTCCTAGAGCAACAAAGAGACGACGAGCGGCATCGAGCGACTACGGGAGAGAATTTCTTGATGCTTTCTTTTTTCGGCGGCTGCGCTTCGATGCACTTTGCCCTGCGTGTATACTTACGCGGCCTGATGAGACTTTTTGACGACGACGAAATCTCCTGCCAGCTTACGAGTCGCTGACTGTTAATATACAAAAACGTGCGCACGCGAGCCGATGTGAATTTTAATTTACAAATCTAGCTGCATGGGAAGTAATCGATAAACGAGCTTGCCTCGAGCAGCCATCGAAAGCAGCGGATACCAAATAAACTTTTAGTCGAGCTTGAATCAAGAATGGAGAATATAGTTTATTGTGGCCAGTTTTATTTGTTCAAGTTTATGCGTACGACGCTGTAAAAGCTCTGCGTAAGCGACGGGGACTGCTGCCTGGCGAAACTTTCTGCAGAATCAACTTTCAGCGTGTTTCTTTGTTTGAGCATCTCGGAACTAGGAGCGCGAGAGGAATATTCCACTTTTCCTCGAGCTGCGATACATCTCGTGTGCGGGCGCAAAAGCTCTCGCGGAAATGAATTAAAATGCTATAACGTATCTCCAGTGGCATGATGAACGAGGCTTACATCCTTTTACCTTTGAATTCATTTTTAAATTTTACCAACGATCGTAACTTACCTTCAATCGTGTGCTTTTACATAGAGAAGAAAAACTATTTATTATTGATTCCTCGTTACACATTTCTACATCTAGTTTCGCGCCGTCTTTCAAAGCCGCACGATCCTAACGAACTTCATTAAAATGTTCAGCAATTTTGCTAGTAGATGAAATGTTTAGTATTTTTATCAAAGCTGGACAGGTGAAAAGAAAGAGAGGAGAAGAAGAGGAGGAACAGGATGACGAAAAAGCAGAAGCAAGCCGTGTATGGATGGAAAAAGCACGCGACAGAGCAGAAAACAAGTCGACTTTGGTGTCTGGCGTGGGTGGGTAGGTTTCCGCGCCAATAGCCATAACGCGCCAAGAGCTGCGAAAAAGGGTTGCGTGTATGTGTGTGTGTATGTGTGTGTGTGCAGCTGTTTCTCTTTGACGGCCTCAAGTGCACAGGCCTCCCAACTCGTCCGTACCTACTACGTGTATATATTCACGTGCGCACATCGCTGAAAAGGTCTAACCGAGAGGTTGTTAAGATTAGGCGTGCTGAATTGCCGAAAAAAAGGAAGCCAAAGGAGAGATGAAACACGCGGGCCGAGTCCGTGTACACCGTACACGTATGTGTATACGCGTATACAGCTACGTACCTCAGGGCGATAGACATCGTCGTTAACGACGAGACACGTCTGGAGGGACGCGGAGGGACGAATCGAGCCTCCTTTCCACGAGCTAGCTGCAAAAAGACGACGGGATTTCTGCGCACTTAAGCTTTTGCGTCTGAAAAAGATACGAAGGGGTTGCTTGGGGGAGCTAACACACACTTTGAGCCTGCACAGGCAGACGCGAATCGGTCTATGCGAGTGCAGTCGAGGGTCAGCGAAAAGTCGTATACATTCAACTCGAAAGCCCGTTGCTTTCGCAAAAAAACGTCGATCTCTCGTTTACTTACTTGGTCGAATTAAGATCCGAGGAGCAGCTGCGGAAAGCACTCGCCTATGTATGTGGTCGATGCTGCTATTGTCTTTCTCTCATTCTCTCCTCGAGTGGCTAGTGTCAACGAGTTGCCGTCGAGTGAAGACTTGTAGGTCAAGTTTCAGTTGGAAAAATCTCCTCTTTTACTCCCTCCTCGTATTTTTATCTCGTGACGCTCATTAGGACGTCACGTGTGTGTACTCAACTTCCCTCTTTCTCTTTCACACGCACACAGACACACACATAAATAAGTGCCAGTATACGATGTGTACATGAGTTACCAAAAGCGTGTTGGACGAGATACACATCCATCGACTTGGAAAACGAAGAAAAGTATCTTAAACGCGTATCGGCGTAGTGCGATTAAAACGTACTTACGTGTCGAGCTACTACATCTTCACTTTTGTGTTTGTTTAACAAGATTATACGGCAACTTATAGCAGCAGCTCATAGCGATGCCTTAAAAGAAACGAGCAAAGTGGAGCAACCCTCTTACACGAGGCGAGCGCGACAGTACGTTGTACTCGATTCTTTTCTTCCCGCCGGTTCTTTTATTTTTTTCCTAACGCAAGCACCTGTAATTTAACACGCGCTGACCATCATTCGATCGAGGTTTCATAACTCGATTGCGCGATGACGAGCTGCTTTTTTTCCATCCCTCGCAGTTTGACGTTTCGCTCGGCTCGACGACCTTTTTCCTTTTTTTTTCGTTTCCTCGATCGATGTGACACCGGCTTTTTATGATGAATAAAAAAAAAGCCAAAACCCGACGGAATATCGATAGCCATCCGAGGAAATTGCCTCGAAAATATTGTATTTTTTTTGCATTTAGCAGAGTTCAGACTTTTTGTTTGGATATATTATGTCTTCGGATACAATATTTCAAAATGTTAATGGAAGAATGGAAAACGTCAATGTTTCTTTTTTATCCAAGTCGAATATTGGAATTTTTCACTTATAACTTAGCGAAACTTCTTTGACAAGATGCTTAAACAAAACAAGCTCTGTTGTCATTGGCTGTATTTTTTACAATATCACACGATAATACTTTCAAGATGTAGGTGTGGAATATTTTTTCAGATCAAAACTTTTTCTCACCAGACTCGCAGTTTACAGCAGTTCATCTTTAAAGAAACTCGGAAAGTTGATCAATATCTCACTTCATGAGCAAAAAAAGTAATAACTCGAGCCGACAAACTTTAATATCGACTCGTACTGACTACTGAACTTGAGTGCAGAATTTCGAAGAAGATTCGTATGGATTTGAAAAAGCGTCGAGTTCAATGAAAAGTCGGTAAATAAGAGAGCTCGACTTTATTCAGCCGAGGTCAGCGTTGAAAATTCCACTCTCCGATCGTCACGGCGCGTCGAAAAGCGTACATTTTTTCAGCCCGCAATAAAACACGAAATTTATTTTCAACTTCTCTTTTCCGATGTGCATCGAGCGAGCGCGCCTGCCTATCTGCCGCCCGTCGCACTTGCGGCTTCGCAGGGTATTAAAAGTCACGCGCGATAACTCAGGCGCTAGAGCAACCGAATGTACGCCAGAAAACATTTTTCGATTCTTTTATGCTCGGCCCTGGTCGAGCGATATTTTTTAATAAAAGAAAACTCGGCCTAATTTAAAATTTAAAAATAACAAATAAGATGCTGGTATTTCGTCGGAAAGGATGTGCAGTACGCCTCTGAAGCCCGAGTAGAGCCGCCACAGCAGCGAGGAACAAATTTAATTGCGTTAATTCCGGAGAATCGCATTCGCGCTCCTGGTATTTTTCGCAAAAAGAAAAAAATTACACAATCGCTTAGCCATGTCTCTACTCGTTAAATTTCATCCTTTAATTACTCGGTTTCTCTATTGAATCCGTTTGCACGCATAATTACGGGAGCGAGTCAATTTTTTTCCTCTCTTCTTTTCGTATAATATTCCATCTCGTCGCTGCTACTCTTTTGATTAGTTTAATCAAGAAATTCTTGGGATTTTCGATGGAAAAAAGCTGCAGCTCGAGCTCCGAGTGAACAAATTCTAAATGATTACTCGCTTCGTCGCCCCCCGAGCAGAGACAGGCTACACGGCACAGCAT